GGATTACCAGGTGCTACTCGTCCGCACATTTGGTTTGGCTGATAGCTGGGGTTGTGAAGCAATTGCGCCGTGAAGAATTGAGGAGACAGAATCCTGGGGAGGACCAAAACGCGCTAACTGCCGGTGCCGGCTCGTTACGCGGCAAGTCTCCAAGCCACAACCATTCGCCAGCACGTCGACACTAGCAAGCTTGTACGAATCCTTCGCTCGATACAAGGGCTGACGCGCAAAATGTGGGCAGCTTCGAGGCCTTTTCGGAACTACTACTTATCGAATCTTGCGAGTCCAGAACCGTGGGACGTATGACCAAAGGCTTTCGTGTTTCCTGTAGTTTGAAGCGGGGATAGCCTAGTACGTACCATTACGCTACCTGGGGAAAGCTGAAGTCTCCACGCACGCACAGTAAGCTGACGGAGGCCGTACCGCACGAAGAAGAAGCAAATCCAATGGCTACGATCCTGTTGTTGAACTAGACCATCACGTAGCCTTGCCTACCATGGGAATAGTCGATCGGCCCCCAAAGCCGCCCCGGAACAGCGCGACAAGTCAGCCCATATTTTTTGGTTCATTGGCCAGCCACAGACGACAAGGAACGTAATGGCGAACTGGGGGTTTTTCCGCATCTAGATTAGAAGTGGCGCAAAAAGAATGCAATGCTGGAGGTGGCGTTCGAGGTCCTCGGGACGACACTGCTGGAGAACGGACAAAAGAGCAATCCAGCAGATGAGAAAAATCTTGGGCGTATTGTCCGAGGGCCAATTCGTCGTTCCTTGAGGAGCTGTAGTAAAAACATTGCATTTGTTCGCTTCGCAATAGCGACAGGAATAGTAGAAAGCCCGGCAGTAAGCAAAACTACCACCGCCAAGCCCCCCACAGCCCCTCTTCCAGAACACGAATATGTATATGCAGCCTCAGCCTTCGTTCCCATTTCGGCTTCTCTAGATCTCGCGGCTGAGAGTCTAGTTCGCCTATCGGCGCTGTCCTTCCAGCACGCCTCTCTATTTTGAGGCAAAACTGTTTAGCCGGCCCCCCGTAATTGGACAGCACCAACGGACAAGGTGCAGCCTCATAAGCTGCATATATTGGCCGACGTACACGATCGTCAATACATATTGGGAATTAGAGAGAAAAACCCCCCTTCTCCCGCCCAGCCTTTGCTGCACTGCTTTCTTCCCTTTCCAAATATAACAAAAGTTCTGCTAAACAATTGTGTCGCAAACAACACAGTAGTCTTGGCCCATCCGACAACATCCGGTCTTTACCTTCTTCACAACTCAGTCCGTGTCGACGTATTACTCAAAAATGCATCTCCCAACTGTTCTCACGACACTGCTCTTCACCACTGCCGCCCTCGCATCTCCATACGCGTGGGCCGAGCCTCAGGCCAACGTCCCGTCCAACAACAACAACGGCCGAAAACCCAACCGCACTCACCGACACGAAAAGACGCCTACGTTCAAGGAGCCATGCAAATGCGTCGACCCCATTGTGCCCATGAACCTGCTTAATGAGAACGAGAAGTGCATGATCAAGTATGCTGCGCGCATGGGATGCTACATGAGCTCCAAGGGTGGCTGCCCTTCACCACCTCCATCTGTAAGTTTGCAAACTCGTTACGATGGGAGAGTACCCATGGGTCTGTGCTGACTGGAAGTAGTGTGGTCTCGGTCCTTTACGCGGCATTCCTTCGCTATAGTGTTGTTGACAAGCCCGATGCGGATGTAAGATGGGCTGCTGTACCCATCAAAATTGTTTCTTCATGTCGCAGTTTTTGTACAAAGTGCATAATGGCAGGTATGGAAAGGATATATACGAAAGTAAATGAATTATATTAGGGTTTTGTTGTAGCTTAACGAGTGAGTGTGATGTTGCTGTTGACTACCTGCTTAGCTCGGACTTTGCCATTACCCCGATCGTCAAGAGCGGTGGGCGTCACTTCCCAATTCTCTACAAGGACTGACTAAACAGCCATGTTGGACTTGAAATTCCTCATCCAGCAGTCTTTTTCTTTCCTACAGGCCTCCCTATTTCCATCTCCATCTCAACCACTTCCTAGCCCTGACTTCCCCTCCTTCATCACATCCCTACACCAACCTTCCTCAACACCTACTCCACCCTCCTCCTCTTGCCCCTTCCTTCACCAACTTCCATACCCATCTTCTCCCCCTTCGCCATCCTCGACAACCTCAACCGCTCCTTCTTCAACGCCTCTGCATGCCTGCTCGTAACTTCTTTGTCAGGACATCCAGCTTCACCCGGTTCAATCAGCGACTCGATACTCATTTCCTTCAGCAAACCAGGAACCTCGCTCAGCAGAACGCGATGACACTCATTCTCTCTGCACCAAAGAATCGCCTTAGTCAACGGCCCAGCATCCACGCCCGAAGGAAGCGACTGCAGACCGTGCGCAAGAGCAAGAAGTGGATAGTCGATTTTGCCCCAGGCATCGTAAGTCCAGCCCTCAGCCGTATAACTAGCAACAACTTCTGCGCCATCAGATGTAGTCAACGAGGCCGGCATGGAACCAATCGCGTCTCCGTCTCCTTCCTCGGTGTCCATTCCATCCGCGGCCCCGCACCTCACGACGTCTCTCTCGCGCGCATTCTTAGCCGCACTATTAATAGTACCGCACTTGGGCACTGTATCGCCGTCCAGAGCACGCGTCATGCTGAGTACTTTGCAAACGAAACTCGATGAGACGCCTGCACGCGCTAGGCGGTCTGCTGCGTGACCCCAGTAGTAGTGTTGGGGGAAATATGATAACAGCTCCATGATAGTGAATTCCGTGTCACCTAATAGTGTAATGTCAACATATACGGGTGTGGCGACGCTCTTGAATGGGCAGAACAGATTGACAGTTGGGCTGGTGGGGTAGTGGTCCTGGTTCTGGAGAATGGGATTGAGCTCAGCTGATAGTGGCAAGGTAGGCTGCTCCGCTTCGAGGGCTAGCATCATGAGCTCAGGGATTGGAGACTTGAGTTTGCGGTTTGAGCGGAGAGCTCCAATGCCGCGTCGGGTCTTCCCAGGTGTGGGAATGAAGTCGGCGATTGGATCGACTTCCTTTGAGGCAAGCCAACGCCAGCCGTCTGTGAGGTCGATGATCATGTCGGGGCAGTCTCGCGCCTCGCGCCACGGGTGCGAAATCTCCAAGTTGAATACGTTGAAAGTACTAGGACCGATCAGGCTATCAGTCCTATTGCTTGACTCGGGTCCTGAGGCAGCTGGTGCATGGAAGTTCAACTGGCCCTCCCACGGCAATGTCCAGTCGACACCATCAAAGTCAAACACTTCTGCGTCTGATCCATCGCTCAACTTAAGCATGTCGGGTAGCAAGCCATACTCTGGGTGAAGCTCCCCACCCGGTACGTACTTGTGTAGGCCAGCCTGACGTAGCTCCTCGCAAGTGAGGGGCAATGGTCCGATAGGAGTCAGCTTGAACGCCTGACGGTAAGGATCGAAGACGATAGGGAGAAGTCCAGACCATGAGACATGCTTCCAGTTCAAGGGAAGCACGAGTTTTGGCACGCGAGATATATCCGGCAAGCCATCGACAACGGGTACGAATGGTTGGTGGAATATCAACCGCGGATCTAGAACTGGATATGGGTACGATGGATGCGTGCTCCCGCCCGGGGGATACTGCAGCTGCCAATCCAGCGATTGCACAATAGGAAGCCTCTCGAACGGTATGGGATCTGACTTGCAAGCTACGATGCTGAATTCGGGTTGAGCTGGAAGTTCGTTGTCCACGGGGCGTTTGCGGGTGGCTCGTGGAGTAGGTGTAACCGGTGTAGCTGGTGTAGACGGCTTGGTATCGTCTGCGAAAACAGACTATCAGTAAGTGCTCGAGAAAGTGAATAGGATACATGACTTACAGTACGACTGCATCTGTTTGCGTACTCTGGCACTACGCCGCATCGGCGTGGGACTCGACGCCTTTTCGAGCTCGCGCGCAAGTGCCGCATCACGCTCTACCGCTTCGACATCACCATCGCTCTTATTCTCTTCAAACGCAACGCCATTCAGAGCTCCAGGTGCACCGACATCGTTCATCTCAATGTCCAAGTGCACAGCGTCCGGTTTCGAACCCTCACTCACGAAACCGGGGGTCTTCGGAGAGAGCAGTCCATGCCAGGGCACCGACGTACGAATCTTAGTAGGGGTCTTTGGCTCTTCGACCTCGTTGAACTCTTCCACTTGATCTTCTGCAATGAAACGGTCTTGGCTCTTGGTGTTGTACGAGCTGCCACCCTCTCCACTGGCACCTTGGTCTTTAGGAGGCAAGATGGATAGTTGCATCTGCGGATTACCGCTCTTCATCGGTGTAGAAGCGGAATTGTGGGTCTCGGTGCCATGGTGGTATCCAAGAAATTGGGGTGGCTCGGTGGCGTATGAGTGGTACATGCTTTCAGGCGAGTTGGTGTTGTCTGGTGTTTTTGTCAGCCCTGATGTCTCAGATTGCCGTATTCTGGATATGCTTACTCGAACTGATATGCATCTTTTTGGCTGGTGACGGCGTCCAATAGCGTTCTCCCATGCTTCTTCTGGTGTTGTTAGATCTTGCAGTGCAGAGTTTAGAGGGGTCGAGTTACTTAGACTGCGCGCTGGGCGACTTAAGGTTGGGAGGTTCCTACCATTGCTATGCGATGATGAGTGAGGTCTACAACGGGTGGTGATATGGTGATGCCCAACGGTGAGATTGAGGGTGTAGAAATGGCGCGGCTACTCTCACTCATATCACTGACGTTGATGTCACGCAAGTCCAAGTGAAGCCAACTCCTCACATCCAGCACTTGAAACCAAGAAATGAACTTTTAACATGACACAAGGAGAGGTGCACGAAAAGAAAGAGAAAAACTGAATGTGATAAGAATTAGCATCAGTTGCAGCAAGCAATGCAGATGCATCATTATTCAATTAGACATATCCACGATAAGCTCAACCGGCAATACGCAATTAATCGCACATGATCGCCTTTCCCCCATCTCCCTTACCCAGCTTTACCACGTACTACTTCCAATGGCAGGGCCCGCACCGTCAAAAAACGGTTCATCCAGGAGGGCCAGCAGAACCTGCTGTCCAACCCACTGCTCCTCAACCGCCGGCCTGATCCTCTCGGGCGGCAGCACAAACCCAAAGTCACCGGTATCAGGCAACTCGATGGTAAACGAGAACTTGGCGCGCCCAATCGTATACACGTGATCAATCGAGGCGCCCGTCGTCGGGTACAAAGTAGCGCCGCTGGGACCAAACAGGTACGTAGTATCGTTCTTTGAGGAATCGCGAATGTACTCGCTCATGAGGGAGGCTGTCTTGGTCCACATGCCGAGTTCGGGTGCGTAGAGCGTTTCTTTGTGGCCAAAGGGGAAGAGGATGAGCTGTGAGTAGCTGTGCCAGTCGATGTAGAGCGTGATACCTTGCTGGTCGCGCACTTTGCGGATGAAGTTGTCGAGCCCTTCGTTTTCGGGGGCGTCGCGGGGTTTTTCGCCGCGGTACACTTGTTGGCAGGCGTCTGGCGAGGCGCCGCGTGGGTCGGCGTCCCAGTTTGTTTCCCAGTTGCGGTTGATCTTTAGAGATGTTGTTAGTGGGGTTTGGAATGGAAATCGGTGAGTTTAGGGAGTGTCTTACGTCGCGGCCGAAGCAGGTTTGGTTTTGGTTGGCGGGTGGGGGTTGGCGGTTCTTGCGCCAGAGACGGTCGTCGGTCTGGGAGAAGACGAAACCTGTCATGTGTGAGTGAATTGGTCAAAATAATGCAGCGAGTCGTGGATTACCATCAGGATTGACAAAGGGAAAGATGTAGAAGTCGTATTTGTCGAGGATTGTCTTCGTGTCGTTGTCTCCGGCCTTGTATCCATCAATGAGCTGCTTTGTGATGTACTCGATGGTCTATTAAGCGTTAGTTATGAAAACAGAGCTGCGATTTTGGGTTTACTGACTGGAGCGACGATCCATTCACGGGCGTGTACAGTGCCGTGGTAGATGACTGCGGGCTTTCCAGGGCCACCTGCTCCCCAGAGATGGACACCGAACAGGTCGCGTCCCTCGTAGGACTTTCCACTGCTCGTCCAGTTTGACTGCTCGGAGAAAGTGGCCTGGAGATCCTTCCACCAAGTGACGTGCTTCAGTGACGTTAGCATGATTCCTCTCGATATCGGTAAACGTGAACTTACATCTTCATAAGGGTGGTAGCTGTCGAACCAGGCATCTTCAGAGCCGTTTGATTGCCTCTTCCAGACGTTCTTGACTTGACGCTCACGAGCAATGGAAGATGCCAAGTCCTGGTGTAGAGTTCGCGACTTCAACCCGAGGCGCTTGAAGGCATCGAGTTGGTCTGGTGCAATGAGCACGTCCCAGGAACCCCGAGCTTCATTGAGCGTCTCGTGAGGGATCGACTCCATTGCACGCTTTGCCATCACGCCCTCTTGGCCAACGGCCCGGATGCGGTGGACCTGGTAGCCATCGTAGGTAACTGGCTGCGAGCTGCGAATAGTCGCGGCGGCAGCAAGCGACAGCCAGGCAAGGTTGAATACAAACTTCATGATGACCTTGGAGCAACCAACGGGGCGGGTGTGAGAGGGAAGTCTATAACTTTTGTCTGAACCTCACTTTATAGCCCTTTCACTATGCGTTTGCTTGGCAAGAGCGCAGTTCATGGAAGCCTGGATGAGCAAGGAACGGTTGCCGTCTCAGGCAACCAATGCCAGCATCAGCCGTATGTACTACAGGCGCACGGTGACATTATACATGTCGGCTGGATACACGGGATAGTCGTGGATAAGAAGCAATCCGGTAATATCCCAAGTCGTTAGTGTTCTGACCTGCCAGTTGCGTTCTAGGCATTGCATGGCGTTGCTGGGCATAAGAGCGGCAACGTCATCAACCCATGCATGTTCGCCATGTCAGATGGGCGCGCACATTGGGGCGGGAGACTCTCCTTGTCTCTATCCAAATTCTTTGTTCCTGTATTGGGTGTTCTGAATAAGGATTCTTATTGAGGCTGAATAGTAGTCAATGTTAGGGCGACACGCCAGTCTAATCATGGGAGTAAGTGCCGACTTCGTGTACAAAGGCAACAACCAGAATGATGACGAATTCCGCAAGCATGGCGATATATGAGTTCATCGAGAAGGGTATAAAGAAGGATTTCCAATGCAGCCATTGTTGAGGCTGTGGCGGTTGGACATGCGGGGAACCCACGAAAACATGCGCAACCGTTGATACGGTAGACGACTAGGGCCCTGTTCGGTTACGTACCCGTTTCCCGTCTGCCAAACCTAATCCCGGCTCCATCTATAAAACAGAGCTGGAAAGCTTATTCGATTGCGCGATTTGCCAGCTACATTCTGCGTTCTATTTACCGGATTTGGGCTCGGTTCGAAAACGGGACTCATGACGCTGGTGTGTTCGGTTATATGCGCATCTTGAAGATACAGAACGGAGCTCTAGACCTCTTGACATCTAACTCTAGCTGAAAACTATATTCTGTTACCGGAATTGGTGACTCGGTTTATCACGTGGCTTTCATGTGACCCTCACTTAACATAAAACAGAACCATAACCGAACAGCCCTTCCATTTCCTATCCCAGTTCAGAAAGGCTCGGCGGCGAGAGTGAGCAGCCAGCATTCCATATCGAAGCTTTAAACCTAAGACGGGAACATAATGGAGATAGAAAATGGGGCTGGACCGAATAAGCCCTAGCCGTCTTCGCCGCAGCCAAGTCACGACAAGAACTATACTTCATCATCCACCTTCTTGCCCCACTTCCTTAATTTCTCCATCATCTTAAACAAAACTCTCTGATAGGAACACGTCGTGAAACGAAGTTTCCGAATTATTGCCAAGCATGGCTGCCGGCGCTCCGGGCTCGAATAAAGCACATCCCTGGTCGTTTATTTAGTGCTATTTTGTTAATCGGCTGACGCAAAGCTAAGACCAAGACTGGAAACAATAGACCGAATACAAGCAAACGACCTGTGAAAGCGATTCTTATAACAATGGTCATTATAGCGCGCGCTCTGCCTGCTCGTGCGAAGCAAGTATTCCCGTGAAGACGCAGGCTGCTATTGCAAGAATATATCGCTGAATACACGTCTTCCCCAACACTCATGAGTATGCGGATTTCTCCCAAGTCACTCCAGTCAAACTGGAGTGCTACACCATCTCGAACATGGCTAAGACAAAGACTCGAACAATGTTCGAGCATATATCTCTGTTACATTGTTCACCTAACAGTGTCTTTATTATATACCAGTATTTTCATCCAATACACAATGTCATTGCTCTTTGGTGAGGTGTTGCAAACATCGCCAACGGTTCACTTTCACTTCACAGTGACGAGATCACCGGTACCTCAGTGAACCCCAAGGGCTCAGTGCATTATTGGGCAATAGGTCTCATCTTTATAAAAATAGAGTTTTTGTTGATCCACTGAACACTCTGATACCATTACATTCACACAACTTCAATTGGAGTAGTCAACCAACATACAGGTGCTCACAATGGATTCTCCCTCACAGCTATTCACTCCCGACAATTTTTCGCGTACGGAAGTCCAAGACATGCTAGACGACGCACAAATGGACTCTGGACATCTATACACGAACGTTCCGTTCTTGAGAGACCAGCTCCAGCAACTCCTTTGGGAAGGCATTGAAGAGTGCAACAGCCGCGATGTTGACCCCATGGTAGTACTACATCGCACACTGTGCAATGAGCGGACTATCCTGGATGCATATAATAAGCATCGATTGGGAAATGCTGTGACTTCCTTCAATGTGCAGGTTCTTGATCCAGAGACCGCGGTAGAATACATTGCAAAAGATAACATCCCTGAGGTGCTTGGATTTTTTCCACTGAGAGCCATAGTAGCGAAGCACGATATAGACATCCAGGCACAGCCCATCTATCAAGTTGGACAGACCATGGAAGCTGACCAGGAACAAATGATGGAGCGCAGCTCACCAGAGAGGTTAACACTGCCCAATTACACACCGCATAAGCCGGATACCAGCGATTCACAAAGCACATGGACACCATCCACGTCCTCGGCAGCGCTCAACTACAACAAGCTCCGAGACGCGCCATCTCCTTGGCTCCCATTCCCCTCCGGCAACCTGACCATGGCAGAAGTTACCGCCTTCTTACCTCAATCCATCAAGTCCTTCGACATAATCAACCGCTTCATCTCCAACGGCGCCCTTGCCATGACCCTGGCCAGTATGATCAACCACTACCGCGCCATGCCCATCGGCCCCATCGAAAACAACACAATCTACCGGATGATGAAAGGCCAGATGAACATCCACGCAAAGACCAACCCAGCCTACAAGGGCTGGACCGTCACCAAACACGCCGACATCATAAAACCCTCCACCTTCAACCACTCCAGCGTCAGCGTATCGAACTTCCACACCCCAGAGAGTATGATGTCGTCGCCACAATCTCCCAAGACAATCCTGTTCCGCGACTTAGCCAACGGCGTCAAGGTGATGCCCTCTGGCCCCGACGCCCTGGATCTAACACGCTGCATCCAGTACTGTCTCGAGCACGACAACGAAGACTGGTACTACCCGACCGACTTCGCATCCCTCGTCCAGAACCTAGGTGGCGCGGCTCCCGTACACAGCGAACACGCCGACGCCGCGGCCATCACTCGTCATTCTGCGGGACTGAAGCTGACAAAGGTGCGACGTGCGCCGCCTGGACGTGGTAGTCGTGTTCGCACGGTTAAGAATACGAAAGCTGTAGTTGAGGAGTCTGAAGAGGACGAGTTGGAATCCGCTTCCTCTTCTCCCTTATCCTCGCTATCGTTCTCCGCCGCTGATGACGACGAAGAAGATGCAGATAGCGACGCTATCGCCGTCACTCCTACCCCCACAAAACGCAAGAACCCCGCTTCGTCCTCTGATGCATCGTTGCCATCAGCGAAGCGCTATAGGAAAACTCCTACGCGCTCGTCTACCCGCAAGCCGGTAGAGTCAGAGGAGGATGGGAGCGATAGCGATGTGTATGTAGGCCCGAAGACGAAGACAAAAGGGAAGGCGAAGGTGGCGACGAGGAGTTCGGGGCGGACGAAGAGGTTTGGGGGGTCTTATTGTGTTGAGTAGGTACTTTGGACTGAAAGACGATTGAGCGGAGCATACTGTGCTATTCTTTGATTGAGAGGGTTAGAGAGAGGAAAGAAGGATGGCCATTGGTCTTGCAACAAGGGATCCGGTTCATTGGAGTTTTTGCCTGATTTGATTATTTATTGTAGTGATACCCCCATTCCACACTTTCATAGTTCTACTTTCTGATATCCAATGATGACCTCTTTCTACATGTCGCCTCCCTTCTCCCCAGTATCCCTTACTCTTTTTCCCACTCCTTAGTATGACTTTATGACCGAGTAACATATAAATAAACTCAACTAGGCACACCCTCATACTCCCACCCTCCAACCAACCTCCTCTTCCTCCCCCTAACGTTCTCTCTCCGATTCGCCGCACACTTTACAAAAAAAGTCAGCGCCGCAAGTACGAAAATGATAATCGCCGCCACCGTTGGCACAACCACAATGCGCGTCCGATCCGTATCCGTACTCGCGAGGTACGGACACGTCGAGTTGCGGCCCTCGACCCAGCAGTCGGGGGTATTGATACTGTTCAAATTGATGTAGACGACGTCGTCGTCCGGACTAGCAGCTAAGACAGAATACAAGTGTGCGTTTTCGAGGGCGGTGTGCGGGACGCTGAAGCGGGAGGGCGGTGTGCAGTGGGATTCTGCGGTTTCGTATGGGGAGGTGTCGGAGGAGAGGCGCCAGGTGTAGGGCGAAGAAGGGTCGTGGCATGCGACGCGGTGGGGCTCGCGGCAGTCTGTTGTGCGCCAGCGGCTGGGATGTGTGGATTTTGTCATTACGACGCAGCGGTTTATGCTGTTGGTGTCGTCGTTTTGGGTTGCGTTGAGGGGTTCGCCCGGGGCAAAGGACCAGAGGGTTGAGTGGACGAAGGCGGCGTAGGGGAGGGAGTTGCGGTCTGCGGGGGTGCGGGCGAGGGTTTGGTTGAGGAAGGGGGATGTGCCGCAGCGGGTGAGGTTGGTGATGGAGGGGATGAGGAGGGAGAGGTCGGGGTTTGCGGGTAGGTCGAGTTGCGGGGCGGTGGATAGGGCCCAGGAGGCGTTTGGGGTCGTGATGCTGGTGGAGGAGGGGTTGAAGAGACAGCCGGATGTTACGCTGCCGTCTGAGTCGACAGAGGTAGAGATTTGGTTGGAAAGTGTGCCTGCAGGGAAGATGTAGCCAGAGTCGGCGGTTGTATTGTACTCGCGCATTTGAGAGTCGATGGTGCCGTAGCTGGCAACCAAGCGGAACAGCTTTTTGAATTCTATAAAAGCTTCTGTTGGCCATCCGTTGCGCGTATATGACTGGCCCTCAGCGTTGGTCAACCCCTCGTAGTATCCATGTACTGGCTGATTGTTCCACTCGACATCATACCAAGACTCGTTCAGATTCGCTCGCTGGTCAGCCAGGTTGGTAGGTTTATACGTCTCATCCGAGAGATTGCCTCGCAATATATCGCTAAGTAGCTGTCCTTGTCCGGGTAGTTGGCCTCGAGAAAGGATAGGAGCATCAGCATTGGGGTTAGCAATCGAGGACGCGGCATGTACATTGAATGAAAACAGGACTAGAGCAGCGCCAGTAGTAGTGGAGGTTGCGTCTAGGAAATCTTCCAATATTCCCGTGAGCAGATCTAGTGTCGTGAGAGAAGTGCAATTATAGTTGCCAACTTGCAAGATTGGTGGTCCATCTGGACTCGGAAAGTCGACAATGGTGGGAGTCGCTGCACTGGTTGGTGCTGAAGACACTGACGAAGCAGAAGCAGATATAATAGACGGAGATGCTGCTGCTGATGTCGCCGTCTCTTGGCGTCTTTGTGCCCCCGGAGGAAGAGGCACTGTTGACATTGGTACTGAAGCCATCACAGTATCACTGGACTGCACTACCGTCTGACTTGTCCTCACCGGCGCCTCCGCGCCATTCGCGTCACCTCCATTTGCTCGAGGAAGCTCCACAGGACACAAGCTCCATACTTGACGTAGAGGATCCCAATACGTATCCACGGTGAACCTGCGAAACCCCACGGCAAGCAAATTAGAAAAGCACCTTTTAAAAGCAAAATGCTCAAACTGATTTTCAGGAAAACACGCTGCCGTCAGCGAGACACCCGGCACAGTCTGGAAATTGATAGGAACGCGGAGTCCAACGTCGCGTTGAGCCTAAATTTGTATACACTAGTTAGCCTGCAAGTCACTTTTATACCCCCACCTAGCCTAACCACTTTTCCATGTACACGTTGTAATCCAAAAACACATTCGTTTAGACATTTCCAACTTCATACGCCACATTGACTTTTGGGGGGGGGAGGTGTGTTTATCAATCCAGCAACATGTACACACACAAAAAAAACTCACCCTAAACGCCTCGCTCCATGGCTGAATCCACCGGGTATCTACAGCACTCTGATCAGGATCATACAGCCCATTAGCCGACATGCCTGCCAGCAATCTGCAGAAAAACACACCACCAACAAACCAAACAATAAGAAAACGCGCAAATGCCCGTTACACACAGCTTATTTTTCGCAGAGTCGTCCAAGCTGAGTGTTGCTCCGGCGAAGCCGAAAGAAAAAAAAAAGCCTGTCAGCAAAGGAGGTGTGTTGACGCGACGACAGACAACAAGTAAGCTACACCACTCTTTTTGATAGCTCTCGTCCTTTTTAATAACAAACGTAGCAATACTTTCGCCCACAAGCTCTCACGTGGCGATAACGCGGTTTGTTTAATGACAATATTGCAGTGTAGTTGGAATGAGCCGGGGAGAATGGGGGGGGGTGGTGGGTGGCTGGTGCAAAGATCCGCCGGGCCGAGAAACGCGACATGTGACTTTGGTCACGTGCCAGCCAAGGCATGTGTGTGTGTGTGCAATGACGCAAGAACACTTTTTCTTTACCCAGCAATGCCTTAATTTGGTTTAGTGAGGTGAATTGGCTACTCCGCTTTCTTCTTCCCCCCCCCCTGCCTGCGACCAATTGCGATAGCACACATACGCTTTGGCCCTCACGAGATGATCCAGCGCAAAAGAGGGAAAGAAGAATAACCCCGGGGAGGGGGGGATTTGCAATGCAGCGAATGTCCCTGTAATTTTACAATATTTGGAAGATGAGCATTTTTTGATTGTTTTTTTGCTCGTGTTGGTGAAATGATAAAAGGCCCGATGGTGCAACATTACGATCGCTTTTTTGCCTGAACTATCGCGTGATGGAAAATCATTTTTTGAGGGAAAAATAAAGAAGAGGGTTGCGCGTGAGATTTTAGAATGAGAAGGGGTGGTGATTTGAGTAATGCTTTTGTTACGTGTTGCGATAATATATTGTGGTCTGGTCGTCGAGGCAATGTGTAAAAAAAGAAACGAAAAGTAAGCGTAGGGCAGAGTGGACTGGGGTGTGTTATTTTATTAACAAGGGAGAAGCTGATTTATGCCTCTTAGGACAAGGTGTTATAGCTGGGTAGATCAGCCGCAATGCCGCAACTTCGCCTTTGGTAAGCGAGAAGCTTTTTCTCACCCCGCCTCTTGTACGACGAACGTCGGAACGTCGAGAAAAAAAACACCACATGCTGTGTTCCTTGGGGAAAAAAAGCTGCATGATCTAGATTTTGTTCAAGAGGAGGATTATGGGAAAAATTGAAAAAAAAATGCGGAAATAAAGATTGTTCGGGAGTGGCCGTGTTTGGGGCGGGTTAAAACTCCTTTTGCAAGCACGCTGCTGGATGGGACATGCAGGTTCAGTGTACGTTGAAAGGAGAATTAGGAAAACACTGGCTGCCGTTCGTGACGGAATTTTGACGAACTCCGTCGACGGCTAAGGTTGCAAAGTCAGGCTGCAAAGTGCCTAGTACCGTACCCATCTTTTCCCCCTTCTCTTTCTCTCCTTTTTTCCATGCCGTTGCAAGCGCAACCAGTCCAACGCCATGCATGCACTGGTCGCTTTTCCAGCACAATGATGGCTGGTGATCATGCAGGAACCAAACGGGGAAACCTTCGCGACGAGCCATGGTGGGCTCACCGTGTCATTTTTCACCAGCGTCTCGCGATTGAACGGCGGACCGGTGGGAGAATGGACGGGCCTCTCTGACTTCTGTCTCTGTTAACTGGGGAGGATCCACTTGATTACCTACGCCCAGTGGAGATATCCCACCGAAGTGTGATACGTTTGAATTTCCTGGTTCACGCCAGAGCTACTGTACATGTCATGTACATGCAGACTTTGGTTTTTCAAGGGGTAAAAGGGGGGCGATGGGGGGGAAAGGAAGGAAGGGAGCGAGGGAGCGAGGGAAAGAAAAGCGCAGCCCTCCGTAGCTGAACCAGACTTTTCCCCAAGAGCGAAAGCCAGGTACTGCAAGTGAGATCGGCCACGCTCTTGCCCTGACAGATACCGGGAGCCGTGGGGTGCGTCCGTTGAATGAGCAGAAAAAAAAGGTGTGCGGGACTCGGTCCCATAGGCGTTATGCCAGCACACTCCAAGCCGCAATGTTCCGGAACCCGTACTCCGCAAGTCGTTTGACGTGCAACGTCTTCACCGCATAATAACTCGGGACACAGACTGTCCATGATGCGCATGAACCGCACAAGATCGAGCGAGACAACGATCGACGGACAACCGTCAACTCGTGCGTTTCACCAGGGCACCCGCCACGGTACCATGGTTTCCAAAAAAACCTGGGACCGACCAACTTTTCGTCTGACACCTGTTTTGGCTTGTCCTGCAGGTTATTGACAGCTATAGCCTTGCCTTGACGGCTACGTGTTTCATGCACAATTTTTTTTCCTTGTTTGACTCTTTTGACGAGGCTTCGTTCTGGCCACGCCATCCTGGCAATCTGTTCAGACAGCATCACCTTGCACAGGTTGAGTGCACAGATTATGGGGTATTGCTCATGCATCTTTACGTCACGAGCCAAAAGAAGGCCCTCCTCTGCGGAGGGTATCCGGCAGGATCTGCGATTAGGGTGACACTGAGATGCTGCGATGCTTGCCAAAGCGCGATGAGCACAAGATTTTCATCACACTGACAGGGGCAGCTGGAAGCAACGTGACATGGCACCACGGAAATCATAGTGTCTGGTGAGAATAAGTAATCATCAAGGTGGGACTGGGCTTGTGACGGGTGATTGTACTTTTGGAACCCGCAGCGCCCAGTCTGCAAGCCGATGGTAATACGTATGCGTATAACAAGTTCTCGACCGGGACTCTACGGATATTTGGGGGGGGAGGGGTGTCCCACAATGGCACCGTTCTTCCCGAGCGCCTAAATGGAGGTAGCCATGGTGTAATGAAAGATGGGTTGAAATTCCGACCAGTGACCGAGTATTTTCAGACCCGACAGAGTGGAAATATGCCCTGTTATTATTTCCCTCCAAAGCCTAGAAAGGCCTCAGATGGACGGCCTTCCAACGGCGTATGCATTAGCGGTAGGAACAGAAGATGATTGTGGTGGACCGTGGCAATTTAGACGGCAAAGATGAGGATAGCGGGGACGCCCGACCTGACGGCGTAGACCCGAGACGTGAGGATCCGGAAGGGTACTATCGATTGGTGCATGCATGACCACGTTAGAGTACCAGCCTTGGAAGCGGTCCCCTGCGGCCAAAAGGCCCATGCCATTTCTTCTCAACGCTTGCAGCAGGTTTGTTACTTTGCAGATTTACGCTAAGGGGGCATCACTGGAGCTGTGGCGCGCTAGGCGGGCGATCAAAGTCTAATAGCCGAACATGGTAGGATCGTATGGGAGGGGGCGCATGATCTAGCCCTCACTGACTCCTTTACTCTTCTTGGTTGTGGTGGGTGTGGTGAGGAGTTTCTAGTCGCCGACCCTGTATCTCTAGTGGCATCGATCTGGATGCGCCGTTGACTTTGACGTTTCTAGCAACGGCATAGCAACAAAAAGTGATGGATTGAACAGGGAAGCGTTAAGCATAATGTGGAGGCTGGACAGTCCGCATGCGGACGTTGATGGCGACAAGAAGGGGGCCGGGCGTGCCGTAGCGGGGGAAAAGCCGACGCTCTGATTCGAGACTTGGGGTTGCAACGGGGAGCATCCCAGTGCGTGTGACAATGCACTTGAACACAAGATGTGTAAATGGTTCATAGTTATACAGCCAGCGTGATGCTGTAATTAAGACAAGCATGGCAGGTGTGCGGGTTTTGGCACAAGTCTACCACAAGTGTTGACGTACAAGAAGAAGAAAGCCTGCTAACGGCGGTATTTGGGAACTTGACCCAAAACACAGCCTTGGGGGGAAGGGAGGGGATCAGCCGATAGAGGAGACGCTGAAGGCTGCATGTATCGAGGTGACATTATCATGACCTGGAATCCAGTGCCACCACAGCTTACATGCAGCTGCAGTGACCAAGAAAGGAGTGACCAGTGAAAAAAATGCTGACACGAAGGATTTCTCGTTAGCTATGCTATCATAGCCCAATGACGAGGGCGGCTAGGCGATATTGCAGATGTTGAAACGGATAAGACTGCACAAGCTGATCGGTACATGAGGCAGGATCGGGCCCAGGCCTTGATCGAGGTGTGGTGGGGGTTGAGGCACTGCCATGGGGTACTTTGGCCGTTTGTGAATGTCTGTCGTGTGGTGGGTACGCCCAGTAGTACGAGGTATCATTGGGGCGGTGAGAACTTGCCGGTAGGGGTTGAGGGGCAACAGGATTAGTCTTCGCCGATCGTCGGTCATGAGGGTGGTCCCTCTGGTCTGTTGCAGAGTCGCTGGACCTCTGCCATCTGAAGTGAGGGATCAGTCATGTGGATGGGACAAGGAGTGTAAGTTTAGAAGTGAGCTGATGGATATACGATTCGTATTTTTGTTTGACATAGCCATAGAGCAGATACAAGTGTCGATGGCACTATTGGGTATTATCGCTAGCGACAATTTGTCGCAATATACAGATGACTCGCCAAGATAGCGTTTCGAACTTTAACGCACAGAATGCAGAGAAGTGGCCGCAACAGGCCGAAACGAGAACAAGATGATACAACCTCCCAATGTGATGCCCCTTCTGTAGACAGGCCCTACTTGGGGAAAAATCCTGCTAGTCATGCCCAATGTTCCTTAATGATTTCGTACAATACAAGTAAATGTGAACCTTGAGAGAAAGAGAAAAAAAGGACCAGAACAAGCGATGCCGATGGTGGACAACTCGGCTATTAATAGGGATACATGAAGTGGCGGACGTGACATATAGACAAGAAGGGATATGGTAGACAGTGTGAAACACAGGCAATCTACATGATGTTTCGCAGAGACATTCGGTCCTTTGGCGATACGGGTGCGCTTCGTGCCTCTGCTGGCATTGAGGGCAAGACGTAGGGGGACGGCAGTTGCCTCGATGCCGGGCTGCTGCTCGCGCTTGTGGAGTGGGGCAGGGGTAGCCTTGGCTCAGCGAGTGAGTGAAAAGGTGGTAGTGGTCGTTGTGGTACACTGGTGGGAGCAGACTGAGGCATAGAGTGGTGGTGTGTGAGCTGGGGGGTCGGCTGGGTAAGGAGTTGTGGTGGTTGCGGGCGCTCGTAGTTTGGCTCGCGGAAAGAAGGGGCTGCCTTGGAAGTCTGGGCCTCGTTGCGGTGCAGAGGAGGCAGCTGAAGTGAGCCACGGCGTCGGTAAGGATCGCTGGAGGAGTCGTCTTCAGGTGCAAAGCCAGTGGCGGGGAGGTAACGGGTGCTGGAGTTCTTGCGCTCTTCCCGGCTACCGACTAGCGGTGCGAGTGTCATGTCTGGGGGAGAAGCGGCACCACGGGGGGACCTCGACTCTGAGCCAGTGTCAGTGATGAGGGAAGGAGCGCCGTCGGCAGATGCGATGGAGTATCCAGAAGGTGAAGGCATAGGCGTCTCGAATCCTCGTGCTCGTACAGCCGCGTGTGATCCGTATGTGGCGAGATCGAGAGGCTGTGGGCGAGGTGCTGGGTAGGGCTCAAATCGCTGGGGCTGGGGAAGCTTGAGAGCATGTGGCGAGTGTACTGACGGTCGGTGGGAGTCGTGTCGTTGCTGGTCATGGCGAGGGGTCATGTGGTGGTGCTCTTCATGGTGAGGAAGAGTGCTAGGTAGTGGGTAATGGAAGCCAGGCTGTGCTTGGTGCATGTAGTCGCGGGGTCGTTGGTCGGCACGCTCAGGATTGCGCTTTCTGCGGTTTTGACCTCCGTTCCACCAGTTCTTGACAGCATTGTCGCTGCGACCTTTTAACCGGCGAGCAATCTCTGCCCATCTCTTACCCATCTCAGCAACCATCTTCTCAATCAGTTCGCCCTCTTCGCCAGTGATTGGGTCGTGGTTTAATGAGGGCTTGAGGTTCTGGTGATAGCGCTCTCTGCATTGCTTGGGTGACCTGGAGCCGATTTCTTGTGAAATGCGAACCCAGTTGTGGGGTCCATTGCGAGCTACGAGGTTGACAAGCCACTGGTCCTCGTGCTGCGACCAGGGGCCGCGTCTGTGGGCAACCATTGTGAAGTTTTGTGGTTAAGAAAGGGTGCAGTTGTTTGAAAACAAGTGAGAAGAAATGCGAACTTTGACTCTGAGTCGATGTTCGATGGAAGGCTAAGCGGTGGCAGGTCAGTTTCGTGGACTGGAGGTAACCATGACACAAGATGAAAATGCGAGGGGGGTGAGACAACCATGAGGCTGAGCGTTGATAGGTGGAAACAGGGGAGATGAGAGAAGGGAGGGGGTATATCTGCAACAGGCACTGACAATGTGTAGATTGACAAGATGTGTTGCAGACAAAATACAGAGGACGGGATGTACCCGGGGCAGTGCGAGATGGTGCAAAGGGTCTAAAGAAGGGAGAGAGAGGAGACATACCGTATGTGCGGGTTGGTGACTGTGGAAGGGTAGATTCAAAGTGTGTGCAAGTGTGTTGTTGAGTCGAGTGGATGTTGAGTGGTAGTGAACGTTGTCTGACGGACCAACGGTAAACGTGGTAGAGGCGAAGCACCGGTATATATCAAGGCGGGCGTGAGGAGGGAGTAGTCCTGACACTTGGACGCCAAGGCGGTCGAGGAGTTATTGACTTGTTCGGGACGGGCAGAGGTGAGCGAGGATTCTGCTTTTCAGAAGATGCGGCTAAGGCAATGGTGAGATGGTGGACACAGAGCGCTGGGGCGTCATGGGGCGCTCAGAGCAACTGACTGGGCCCTGAGCAGCAAAAGGCTAGTGTGATGGCTGTCGACGACGCACACAGGCAGCGATGGACCTAGTAGAAGGACCAGATCGTCGGATTCGACAAGTACCCTGTATCACATCGTGGCATGGCGTATGGCGCTCGCCGGACGCCATCTTTGGGGAGGCCGAAAAAGCAAGTGGGACGCCCAGCTCGCATTTCCATGGTGGGAGGACCAGGGTGAATAGCCCGCGCACCCCCCTGCGACGCTCCCTGGCCGCCGTGAGCGCGCTCGTCCCCGTCAGCGGCCCACCGCTCGCGCAGCATGGTGCACCTGCCTAGGGGCCCTGGCCGTTTGGCTGCCGATTCATGACGGTGCGCCCGTAGCACATTGGCCGGCGGGCTTTTGTAGACAGCATAGCGATAGTCAGGAATACCCCCACTGGACGCGATACTCGACCTACCCTGCGCACTGTAAAACCAAACATGTCCATGGCCCAAAGGTTGAGCAGCAGGCCCCTTCAGCCAGCCTCAGCAGCTTCCAGGGTGTGCCCGGGCTGGCAGCTTTGGTTGCCCGCAGCACCCAGAAGAGTCCAAATACATGGATAGCAGATGAGCTGCCATGGTGGCAGGGCCCTAGATCCCGTCACCCTATACAGTGCATGGTGCATGTTGTGGGTGTGGATGGATGGATGGACTTTGAATATACATAGATACGTACTTGGCTACATACATGTGTACATGCATGGACACAGTGCAACGGTCCCTGGAATAGAGTTGTGGTGTTGGTAGTAGTGTAGGGGCCTGGCAGAGCTTGTCAGTATACCTACACACTGTACATACATACATACATACATACATACACACACATGGCACGGGCAGAAGGGTGGTGGAGCACCGCCTCGGGCGACCATGTGGCCGTGGTGGTGGTTGGCAGACGGAGAGGGAAAGAGGGGTGGGCGGCCATTGGCAGGGCATTCTCGTGTGCTGTTTCTCGTGCGAACCATTACATCTGAGGCAGCGTTCTCTCGAGCGGCGCACGATGCACGTTGCAGTCAGCACTCGGGCGTCGATCAAACGGGTGCTGGTGCTGGACTGCGCTCCGGGCGCTGGTAGTGCGATCGTCACGGCCCTCGCAAGGGAGGGATTGAGGTCGGCGAGGTGAGCTTGGCACTACGACGACTCCTTTTGGGGCCTGTCGTTCTCCCGGGGGGCTAGCGCCATGGGCCTCAGTCGGGCGCTGGCCGTCCTTTTTGTCGAGCTGGCCGATGCTGCGTCGAGCGCGGCAAGCTGCATGGCTGTTCAAAAGCGGTCTCGTGGGCGGAGAGCCTTGGACCTAGAGAGGGCTGACGGAGGGCAGGAAACAAGACGGGGCGCGCGTGGCCGCCACGGCGGTAAATAGCAGGTTAGGAGGCCTTGTACTGGGTACGTACATGTAGCAGACGTATGCTAGAGCGAGAGGAGCAGCAGCAGCAGCAGCATGGTGCTGGCGGCCGTTGGTGGGCTGGAGGGCGATCTGCCAGCGGGCCAGTAGCGAAAGGTAGCGAGAGAGTAGCGAGTGGGTGCGTGTGGGATGGTTGCGCCAGTCAGCAGCAGGCGTGGCATTTGGAATACCCTTAGCACACTGGCGACGCCCGCCTGAGAGCCCGTTTCGGCATGCTCGGAGGGGGCAGAGGGCCAGGCGACGACGTTTTGGGACGCAGCAAGACCGTTGATTGCCAAAAGACGTCGTCACCCGCCCGTCTGTGGCCTTTGTCGGCGACGTAGCCCTGGGCCGTGGTTGCAAGGCGGGCGCTGCCAGTGCGGCTATCTGTGAGGGTGTGACGCTTGCATCTCGATTTGCTGCGTGCCAGCGAGTGAGGCTGCCCGCGCCATGGGTGACGAGTGAGTGAGTGGTTGATTGATTGATTGATTGACTGATTGATTGTCTCGAGGACAGGGCTCGCCCAACTTTCTCCATTCATGCCCCCCAGCCAGCAGTGGGCCGGCTACGCCATCGGTGGGGATGCTCTGCGTCTATACTCTACCTGACACCGGCCTGTTGCTATTGTCGTCGCCGCCGCCGCCAGGATGATGGGTGCAGCCTGGCCCGTGGCAATGGCCTTGAAGGGCAAACCCCACGCTGCAGGCAGGGAGGTATGATGAGAGTGAGCACAAGAGACGGGCAGGGCGTGAAGCTGCAGTGCTGGTGTCGGGCCCACCGAAGTCGAGCCGGTCCCGCCGGTCCCTGTTGGTGGCAGAGGCAGATGCAGAGCAGCGAGAAGTTGAGGCGCACGAGTGTGGCTGACGCATCAGATCCGGGGTCAAGCAAGCACTAGTCCGAAAGAGGCAAGGCGGGTCCCAGGTGGGAGGCTAGAATTTTCGGCAAGCACAGCATCCGACTGAGTGGGTGCTGCGTGTGTTTTGCTGAGCCTCAGCTACTGCTGCGGCGACCGTATTGCTGCTAATCTATTGTTACGACACTTGTCATATTCCCACTGATCTGCTATGACTATTGCTACATACTCACACTTACTACAACCACTATACTCTAATCCACCCACCCTCACCCTTTAACCTATGCACTAACCTCTCCTCACACCCTGCCCCCTCCCCTCCCCTCCCCTTCCCTTCCCGTCCCCTCAGTCCCCACGGCCTACCTGCTGCCTGGGTACGCCTGCGCCACGTTCATTATTACATACATGTCGAAATGCGCAAATCATCCAGTCGTGTGCCGCTGATTCACCCCCCTTGCCCGCGCAGGGGTCGAACACGATTGCGAAAACCTCCGCCAAGCTGAGCATCGCGTTCGCTTTCCCCAGCACTGCCAGCGTCTTGCCGCTGCACTATTGGATACCGGCCTGGGGTCCCTGAGTCGCCGGATCGCCAACCCATGTCCCACTGGGCGCCCAAAATGCTATTCACAACCACCACCACCATCATCTCGTCCAACCTCCACAAACTCCGTCTGTTCGTCGGAGCACCGCGCGGGGCCTTCCGCTTGGCCCAAGAGGCCACGAGACTTGGTTGCCCTTCCCTTTTGCCTGACGCTCACTGGTGTCCTTGCGCATCAGCCGCACCTAAATCTCCCCTCGCGCTACTGCGACCGATGCTGCTGTGCCGGCTCCCGTCCCCTGGTACCAACGGTGGTTCCAGCAACGCACCTTGTGGCTCTGTCTCTCACACGCACACACATACTCTACGGTCCTGTTTTGTCTCATACTCTAAAGTAGCTTTGGGCTACATGCGCAACCAAATCGCATGCTACGTCGCTCTGCATGTCGCCCACGCAGCCCACGCTCTCGTGCGACAGGTTTCAAGTCCCACTGGCCGACCCAAGACGTTCGGCCCACCACAAACAAACTCGCCCACCCATGCTGCAAAACACGTCCATCAAATGTCCCATTACATGCAAATACTTACCCTCACGTCTTCTCACACAATCCCAAGTAGTCGCCCAGCACGCCTTGGGGCCGACTCGGTCGGTATGTATACATTCCGCGGAGTAGCACCGGCACATTGCGACAAACTTACTTGGCCGCGACTCGTGCCATAATATTGACTTTGTGCTCGTGGCCGCCCCGCTCTCCCCGTCTGCACGCAAAAGAGGATTTGCGCGGGCGGAAGGGGAGAAGGGGGGGGACAAGCTACGAGAGTTACCAAGGTTTACGACGTCTTCCCTGCAGATACTCTGACGCCTGCACCTGTGTCATGGAGGGGTCTGGTTTGTCCTTGGGCCCCTGGTGCGTAGATCGCGACAATGGTGGCTACTGTCAACCAAGTCTGTGTCTGCATGTCGCCCTCCCGCGCCGTACTACTCGCAGGTCGGCGATGCTGAACCTTGACATACAACCTCGTGGTTGCACGCCCACTGACATTCTGCTCCCGCGCCCGTGACATGGACCCGTGCCGGCCAATCCACTGCCGCCCTGATTCCCAATCAAGACACGCGGAAGGGCCCTGTAGTATGCCTGTGTACATACACAATCCATCACAATCGGGCGCAGTGCCGCCGGTGGGCCTCTGCAGAGCAGGAACATGATCCCGCTGCTAAGCTGCCGTCACAGAAGGGGTAACCGCTGTACCTACTCGCACTTGCACGGTAGTATTTGAATTTCTCCTTCAGATCCTCCACACTGCACAGAACAGGGATCCCTTGCTCAGATCGCACAGATCAGATTGACGAATTCTACCCGCCGGGCCAATCGCGTACTTTGCCTCGCGCCCTCCATATCCTGAAACCCACTTCTGCCCCCATTGCAGCCCGGCCTTGCTTTTTCCCTCTTCACCACGACATCCCCCCCCCCTGTCACCATGGCTCTCTGGCGACTGTGGCGCACATTCTTCTCGATGCAGTTTACCGTTG